AGGCCAAGTACACCTCTTGTTAGTGAAAAAGTTGCATATTCCATTGTTTTAGGACATTCATGTAAAGGCCTATCTTATTTTATTGCACTTTGCTTTATTGCTGTTTGCAAGTATTGTGGGTTTTTATTTTATACAAGACTACCACCAGCAAAAAGATTACAACTCACTGAAGGTTCAGATAATGATTTGCAGTTTTTAGCAATAAAGTATATTAAGATATGTAGATTGCTTTTTAGAATAATGTTAGTGCACATTTGATAGACTACAGTATAGAGCAGAGGTGTCAAACTCAAAGCCTGCAGGCCAAATCCGGTCCATGGGGTACTTAGATCTGGCTCGTGGGGCCAACCTGGAAACAGCAAAGGACTGGCCCGAGGTGCCTCTGCTACCAAAAATGGAGCTTGGGAAGGCTGTGTGTGGTCCTCCTGAGCACTGTTTTCACTAGCAGGCTTGCAGGAGGCCGTCGCAGCCAAAAATGGAGCTCGGGAGCCCGTTTTTGCTGGCAGAGCGCTCAGGCCACATGTACCCCCCGACACGAGTGATGTCAAGCTGGCCATGATATCATGAATTCAATTACTGTTTTATGGATTAAAAATTTGATGGCTGAGATGCACATTCTCTTCTCTATTGAAAAAATAATAATTCTAGTATGACTTTTTGAATCTTATTAGACCTTTAAAAAAAATCCTGTTCTTTTATTTTACTCTTTCTGAAATATGCATGTTGATGAGTCAACCACAGATCTGTTTACCCAGCATAATCATCTTTCATTTGGGGAAAAGAGGGTGGAGGCTCTGAAAAGGTCAAGTGAAAGCTTGCTCATGCCACGTTGCTCTCCAGTTCCACAAACCTTTTCTTCTTCCCAGATGCTCAGGGAAATCTGCATGGAAACCATTTTATAGCTTTGTGAGTTGTTAGGGCTTGCTGTAGAATTCTCCAGATGTTTTGAGCTGCAGTTCCCATAATTCCCAACTGGCAGAGCCAGCAGATCATGTGGACACTGAGATGAAGAAAGATGAGTTGAGATATAGTAATTTTCTTTTGCCTATCTGATTCTTTTTTTTTCCTCCTGTGTTCATCAAGACCTTAAGCAAAAGTAGCGTGAGTTACAGAATCGCCTTAGAAAAATTTAAGAAAATATATTTGTTTGATATATTTAAATGTCTTTTAAAACATTCCATAGCAGGTTATCTAATAATAAAAGGCAGGCACTTCCTGTTCTCAGGCTTCCAGGCTGAAAAGACATGCTACAGATGGAAAAGGAGACAGAAAGAAAATAAAAATAACTCCCCATTTTTAATATATCTTTATTCCTGTTATTTCAATTGTGATTGAAGTAGGATACATAGGGAAGCTTTATTGTCACCGATGCCCCAGGATAAGAGTCTGCTGCAAGCATTTCTGGCTGCATTTTTTTTTCTCACAAGACAACTGTCCCTGTGACAATAAGAAGTCTGCTCAGAATTCCAATGTCTTCTATTTTATTTCTTTATCTCAGAATTTGAAAACAGAATCTGAGAAATGGCTTTGTCTGAATTGGGAGTGACATAATTACACTAGTCCAATTTTTTAAGAACATCAAGGAAGGCCCTATATCCAACTAACATTTCACTTGATGTATTTTCTTTTCACTAAATTGATTCATGTGGATCATTTTAGATTTGCTATCTTAATTAAATCTTTCCCCATATTCACCTGCTGTATTACATTTAGAAGTCCTTTTTTTTCTTGAAGTCTGTCTAAGGTGAGATGGATTGGCTAAAAGGAAAGGACATTGTTACTGTAGTATTGCCATTTGAAAAACTCTACAAATGCCATCTAACAAATGATACTAGCTGACAATATGTTTACGTACAAGAGATTTTAATTCTTATTTTGAGTGCATGCTTTTTTGTTTAATTTTGCCAAGGATAGCTCTGTTGATGTTATCAGCAACTTTTACTGTTTTCAAAGTCTGAGAATTGTTTATTGTTTTTAAGACCCATTGTGAACTGACCTGTAAAAGGCAGAATAAAATGATTTAAATAAATTAATAGACCATTTCCATCTGCTGTTTCTCTGGGTTGTAGCATACTTCCTTTTTTAAATATAACTTTACTAAATTTCGAAAACTAATAAAATACAAAATAATGGAAAAAAAGAAAAAGTTTTTTTTTAAAGAGGAAGAAAAATTAAAGGTGTGGAAAAGAAATATAAGAAAAAGTATATAATTTTTAAAATGTAGAATAGAGGAATTTCAAAATCTGTAGAGTATATCTTTTTTACACTTCCTTTTTTTTTAATAAGCAAAAATTTTCTGTTCCTGAAACTGTGTTTGCTGGAATATGAAAGATAGTTTGCATCCTCCACTAGCAGCCTTCATTAAGGATTTGAAAATGGCTTTGGGCTTTTTACTAGCACCATATATCATATATTGTTTATTCCTGTATAGTGATAACTGCTCTAGACGTGGATCCACCTCTCTACTTAGATTAATGATTCTCTTCACCAAGCTCACTAGTGGAACACGATCATGATAATTACTTGAGTGACTAACATTTTCTCCCTCTTGTATTTGGTAGGGCAGGAAGAGAATGAGAGCTTATATGCTGCCCAGTCTGTGATAGGTTTAGGTATTATTATCTACGGTAGCTAACTAACCTAGCTAACATTACATGATGGCCTTTTTACACATAGCTAATTTATGCCCCCTCTTTTTCCTTTCTTAAATAGTAAGGTATATTAGTATAAATTATCCTATGCTCAATCTGTTAAAATGAATAGCAAAACTGAATAATCCTTTGCTACTTTATAGCAGTCTTTTTTCCCCAAATGAATGTCTCTGGTAATATGAAATGTTTAAAATCTGAGTAATAATTTGTCTCCAATCACTCAGCTTCTGTTTACTAGGTTGCTCTGCAGAAGGGCAGTTGAATGTTTCTTGGAACAAACATGATCGCAGCACATATATTCAGGGTTACTCAGAATTTAGCACCACATAACTATGATAACATCCAGTGCTTCACCCCCACATTACGTAAAGATACATTCACACGCATGCGGCCACTGTCTTCAATAGTAAGTTCAGTGCATTGGATTTGAAAATGGGAACCGAAACGGTAAGATGATATAATGTTGCTATGTGACACCCCAGATTTACACATAATACTTAAGAGCAGATGCAAAATAATACCTTTCTGAAAGCAGTATGAGGAGAGGAGGGAACATACTAAGAAACTTTGGGGGCAGAGATGCACTTCAGCATTTTCTTGCAAATCCCTCTTGTACTTCATCCATATGTTAACAGGATATATTACTGTAGTGCTGCAACACGGATAGCAATTAACATTTGCAGCATGAAGAATGTTTCCAATTGTTCCATTCTCTTCAAAGGCTGAAAAAATTATATGGGGTAATCAGTAGGACAGTTTAATATTTAGATACCTCATGACAGATTATTCATCTGATTTTGAAAAATACAGGATTGTTCAGCACTGTAGATAAAAGGTAATACATGTGTGAAGAGGCCCATGTGGGGTTTTTTTTCCTTATCAAAGAATACAAAAGTTTTGATATTTATTTAATAAACAGGGAAGCTTTTGAGAAGAACACTGATAAAATATACATATTGATGAAGAAGAAAGAAGCAAAAGATTGGGAAAAAGGCTGAAATAAAGCTTATTTAAGAACACTTTTGTGCCCATTTTACTAAATAAAACTCATATAAGATTAATTTGTGACAGTCTTTGATATGTTAAAAGATATGTATGTATTCGTATATTTAAAAATCCAACTATATAAATATTTAAATGATAAAATGGATGATAATTCAATAAATCTTTTGTGATAATATGTTAGTCTTAAACAACAACGTGGCCATTGTCAAATAAGATGAGTTATCTCTATAGAAATCTGTTACAAATTTTCTTTTTTCCACCTAGAATATGCTTGGCCCACACTGAAATCCATGTTTTCACTGTTGAGAGAAATGAACCAGTCTGCCCTAAATAACCTGCAAAATGAGTTGAAACATCAGAAGAGAGAAGAAAGGGGGAAATACCCCAGACCTAATGCTCTTCCATGGCCTTTTGGAGTTGGAGGGGTTGCTGCTGCAGTGGTTTAGACTTAGTTCATCTCTATCGCTTGTTACGATGACAGAAAATAAAATACTAGCGCAGTATATTTAGAACCAAAATATAATGCGTTAGGGTGTGTTGCTATTTGGGCTTGTTTTCCCCAAATAGAATAATTTATCAATAATTTATCCTGCTCATTTTCAAGATAAAGAGGCACCACTTTTAAGCTTTCCAGTTCCCATCCCTTCTAGCAGTAACCTCGATTGCTAGTAGCTGCTGTCATTGAGAGCAGGGTCTGTTTAAATGGAAGAATTGCTCACAGAGGAGTGGAAATGAAGTAGGAGGATGACCTTTTACTGAAGCAAAATCAGGTCAAGACATAGCACTATTTACAAGGAGGAAAAGCAAGATACTCACACAAGACAAATTAGCTAAGGAGGACTTTTATTTCTGTCTTTTCAGTTTTTGATAGTTCTCTCCATTTCCGGGCATCTTGTATGCACCTCTCCTTTGATTTTCCACTGTAGTCTTTTAAAACCAGGAAGATGAAAAAGCATGAGAGCAAAATCTTACGCTATGTAGTCCTGGGAATTAAGGTTTTTCCTTTGTAACATGCAGTGTCTGCAAAGTTTATTACAGCATGTTTCCAGGGGTGTGTGGCATTATTCTCTTTCCCTTCCTCTGTGTTTACGTTTCTGTATTAAGCAGGAACAGACAAAATACAACTAATCTGATCACATATTAGCATAGCTCTTGCATTTAGTCTTTATTCAGCAAAGATAGTTTGCCCCAGCTTAGGCAAGATCAGTAAGCCTGCACGGCTCTCTCCGGCTTTCCATTCCCGCCCCTTCTAGCGGTAGCCTCCCTCACTAGTAGCTGTTGTAAGAGGAAGTGCTCTCAGTTGTTTTAAAAAAGAGCTGTCATGATTTGCAGCATGGGGAGGAGGCAGCTGGATAAACAGAGACCTCTCTTTCCAAACTAGGACTGAATCTCCACAGGCTGGCAGCCTGTCCTCTTCCAAGTGGCCCACACTCTTCACCTGCAGGATTTCTCCTTCAGCTTCAGATCAGGTCAAAAAGGCTCTGCCGGTCCTTCCTTCTTACTCCTTCCCTGCTTAAAATTATTTGCTAGGTTTGCCATTCAGGGTGAGGAAGTGTATCAGTAGCTTCATTTCCTTCCCTGCAGGGGAACCTGGGGCAAAGGAATTTAGTCGTGATCTGAGCGCAAGGAAAAGATTATCCTGGGCGGTAAACAATGCTGGCTTAACCAAGTTTCAGGAAAGGGTGTGTTAACTACTGAAAAGAGTAGTACTGTGCTTGTGCCCATTGGTTAGAGGCATCTGTTGTTTGTTGCTTGTGGGAAGGAAAGAGTATTCTGTATTTTGTTTGTCTGGTTCTTTACCTGGCCTTCTGAAAAGGCTTTCCAGTGATGATGAAGCATGACAGTGAAATGGTGTGCAGCTGGTTGTCTCTATTGTTGTATATATCAAACCTGTTAAGCGTGTTACAATGTTCTAAGATGTTGAGAGACTAAAGTTAATAACCGATTACTGTGTTTGCTTTTCAAGTTATATACACTGTAAAGGGGTTTGTTTGTACCTATAGCCACATTGGAAGACCTTAGTTTATCACCAGCCAGTTCACTTTGGCTTTTTAAAATGCTTGCTGCATGTTTAGCATGTTTCACCAAACCGAAAAATTACTTGTGGGACAACATCTAGTATGCTGACAACAGATATGGCTCATTATGCGTCCCGATTAGGTTTTAAATTTTTGGATAATATCAGTAAGGAAGAGAATGTTTTAATGTCCTGTTTGGCTCAGGAGCAGTTTTTCAGGATATAGTCTAATTTAGCTTTGGTAACCCATGTTAGCAAAACTTGTTTTGTATCTTTTTCTTAATTTCTACTGTTAACTTGCTGACCTAGGGTTGCAACTGGCATTTCTTTCCTGCAAGCTCTTTAGATTCTGTGATGGGAATTCTAAGAACCCTCAAAAACAGATTTTCCTCTGTCATATCAAATTCCACACATCACTTGTAAAATCTTTCTGGCAGAGAATATCTAATTTTTACTGTGAGATGAGGTGTATATTCCTAAGGTAGAAACCAGAAGTACAGAAATGTGTTTCATATTTAAACTTCAGGTTAAATTCTTTGTGTGCCTGCTTGAGATTTTTGCTACGATTTCTAGACAGCCTGCCTCCTCTTTTTAAACTGTCTTAAATTTTTCAAGTTCCACTTTAGATACAGTATCTGAAAAATATCCCAGTCTTTCCAAAGTTACACTAAGGCGACGTTGGCTTTGTGGTAAAACCTGGATACTTTCTGCTAATAATAGGAGGATATTGTCTTGGACAGCTGATACACATGTTTAAATCATAGGTTCTGGCAAGCTACGTGTCATTATTCTTTGTATCGTGAAGTTTTCTCCATGCCATGGATCAAGCAACCTTTTTCCATGACCCAGCAAACTCAAAATTACAGTGATTTTCATGATGATTACAGCTTACCACATAGGTGTGGCACTTCAGCATGTAGAATCGCTTAAATGGCCTCTATAACCATAATCATGTGCCCAGCCTCTAGAATACTTGTGTTTGGTCTGTATTTTGTCCCAACAAGACCATTCATGTTTTAAATTTAAAGGTTTCCTAAAGAAAAAATGAAGAGTCCCCGTGATAGACCAACATTTGATTTAACCTGAATATCTGACAGTTTTAATCCTTTGACGATTCATGGGTACCTGAACCTGACAACTTACTCAAGCCCCAAAATAATTAGTGTTAGTGCTAACAGTGACAAAATTTCATAATTAAGCTAAGGTTTCATTATTAGAGCACCTAGATATAAAATGAAATTGTATTCATTATTTTTAGTGATCTAGTTAAATAGACTTCCTCTCAAACTGAAAAATACAGTACAAGCAGCATTTTTGTAATAACTCAGGAAAAAAATGCTTTATGGATCAGATGAAAGGCTGGCTTAATATTAACACGATGATCAAGATCTGTAGGATATTATGCTGCCCACCTTTTTAAAGCCTTTTTAAAATTCCATTAAGATGTGGGCTGCACAATGCTCTTCTGAGAGCAGATGTTGCAACAGAAAATGCATAGATATTTGTCCTAGTCAAGGATGGAAAACAGCATACCAGATAATGGATCGCAAAAACTTAGGTGACTACTTAATGGCAAAAAGAGTATCGCCATCTAGTCGTGGTAATGGTATAAATTTTTTGAAGCCCAGATCTGGTAACTGTAGGTAGGGTAATGTTACTGTTGGGCAGTAGGAAAGCTGATAGGGAATTTTGGTTCTGTTCCTCAAAGGAACACAGTTCCTCTCAAAATCAGATCATCCCCAACCTTCTGACTTTTCAGAAGAGTTTGAAAACCTGGGTCCGTGCCTAAGCCCAGGAGCTGGGTATGTAACAGAGCCCACCTCCTAGTTGTGCTAATGGCTGTCTTTATAGATATGCTCCCCTGTTCATAGGGATTTTCCTTTATTATTGCTATATGTTCCATGCTGCTATTGAACACTATGTCAGAGATTGGTGTTTTTAGTTACGTATCTTCCACTCCATGCAATATAGTTAAATTGATCAGTTCTTGAAGTACTGTGGGCTTATTTGGTGGAGGGACAGTATAAATAGCATTGTTTAAAATATGACACTGGATACATTTAAAACATGTTTTGCCAACAGTAAATAGTTACCAATGAGATATATAATGTTCATGAGTGTGAAGAATGTTTCTCTTCTGCCAAATGATATGTATCAAAGTTAAGACCTTGTGCTAGTTTAATATAATATTCATGATATATCAGTAAAGAATGAAATTGCAGAACTGGCAGTTATTCCATACTTTCCATTTTGTTTGACAGTTGAATCTGATCATCAGTGAGCCCCACAATGCTCTAGCTATGGCAGAACCAAAGTATATTAATATTCTGTGATTGTAGATCAATGCAGGGGTGGGATTCAAATTTTTAACAACCAGTTCTGTGGGCATGGCTTAGGTTGTGCCTGTGGCTTGGTGGTCATGTGACTAGGTGGACATGGCTTGGTGGTCATGTTATTGGCTGGGTGTGGCCAACTCAATATCTCTCACAACGAGACACGCATCTCCTCACCTGGCCTCTCATGGCTGTGTGGATGCTGCAACAGTCGTAAGTGTGAAAAATGGTCATAAGTCACTTTTTTCAGTGCCATTGTAACTTTGAATAGTCACTCCACAGAAGCAAAGTACCAGCAAAGGAGGGGGAAAAAACTCCAGAGACATTCCTGAGACAGGAAGTCTAGTCCTGCCAAGAATGTAACAAGGGTTAACAAGAGGCAGTTTCTGTAAGCAACACCAGAATTTTTCCTTCTTATCTTTCTTACAGGATTAGACCACTAATTTCTTGTAACAACCGGTTCTCCAAACTGCTTAGAAAGTTAACAACCGGTTCTAGTGAATTGGTGTAAACTGGTAGAATCCCACCCCTGGATCAATGTCAGTAAAATATTTAGACTGAAGTAAAATATTTAGACTAAACTATGATTATTGAGCAAGAAGCAAAGAATTACATTAAGAACTGTATGCAAGACTTTGTGAGAAGATTATTTGATGACTTCAGAGAGCACATAGAGATTGTATATGAACATGCAAAAAAGCATGTATTATGCAGACAGGGTTTTTTCACCAGCAGTCAAATTATGTGTGGCTTTGTAGCTAGAGAAGTAAAGCTGTCAACAAACTAGAAAGACTGACCTTCCATGAGTTCTTAATATATACCTTACCAAGAATTGAACTGAAGTTGTTGCAGAAGGTACTCATGAATGACTGGTCAGTGAATTAATGTGAACATAGTTCTTTAACACCTGGGGGGGGGAGGGGGAGAGAGAGAAAAAGAAACTGAATCAGTGTTAATGGACTAGTTCCTGCTGTTTTCTTCACAAGGTCTATTTGTTTCTATCCCACCTCTATTATTTTTACAAATAACTCAAGGTAGCAAGCATATACAACACATCTTCCTCTTCTTATTTTCCCCACAAAAACAATCCTATGAGGTCGCCTGAGCTAATGAGTAGCCGAAATCACTCAGCTATTTTTCAGAAATAGTTTGCCATTGCATGGCCAAGAGAGAGTCACTGGTTCAAGATCATCTAGCTGGGTTTATGCCTAAACTGGGACTAGAATTCAGAGTCTTCCAGTCTTTAGTGTGGTGCCTTAACTAGTACACCAAAGCAGTTCTCATACAAATATTAAGCAAATGTCGGACTGGCACCAGCTTTGCTCCTAGGAAAGAATGACCCTTGACTCCATGGATGTCAGAGAAAAAGGTATTTTTACTGGGGAACTGGGTGCAGCACAAGCAAGGCAAGCTCTGAGGAAAATCCGCGCAAAAATCATATATTGAAAGCAATCCCCAATGTCCAAATCCCTCCCCTCTTTGAGAGCAGTCCAATCATGTCCCGTTCCAATATTCTGGGAACCAGCGGCCCCTGGTGCAGTTGTAAACTCCTTTTCTAGGATCAATGTCCTTAAAGGCAAGAAGATGGCTCAGTTTGGCACCCGTGGCTCCTGTTGGCATCCATACTCCCTCAATTCCCACATATTCCTTCACGCCTCCAGCTCTATTCCCCTCCCAAATGCCCCCTCCCCCTTGGTTGTGGCAGTTGCTAGCAAGCTTCAAAAAGAAGGCAAAGATAAGTATCTGACAGCAAGTATATATGCATAGAACATTGTTTCTCCGCTTTGGCAACTCTAAGATGTGTGGATTTCAACTCCCAGAACTGCTTGTTCGGGAATTCTGGGAGTTGAGATCCATTCATCTTAAAATTGCTAAGATTGAGAAACACTGGCATAAACGTGAGCAGATTGGATGGATGGATGGATGGATGATAGCCATGCAGGCAGGCAAGCAGGCAGGCATAAAACCAAGTTTGTTTAAATTGTGTCAAGTGCAAGCTACCAGAGCCACACTTACGAAGCCCATAATACAGGAATATGCTTGCCTTTCCTTGGGAACAGATAGATAAGGTTCCATGGAGCCTAGGATAGGTCAATCCTGGATATCTCTTTAGCTGCAC